ATTCCATAACAAGAAAATGAAATACTTTACAAAGATGATATTGTAAAATGTATCAATTGTGATACCACAAAACAATATATAACTTTGTGATTTGTTAAATACGCTCGTATTATATTTAACACTAATAGCTACAATGCAAATATTTCTTTTTAACTTTATTTAGGTTGACTTGATTCAGTCATTGTCATCCATTTGGCAACATAACAAGTTTCAATCCTCACTAAAGAGAAAATATTCTCACCTCATTGCTATTTATCTCAGGGATTTTGAAGTCATTTTATCATCTCTATTGACCTTGCCCTTGCAAATATTGCCGAAATTATATGCGTCACTTTTGTAGTCATGATAATAAAATTAAATTAAATGATGACTAAATGGTGTCCAAACACAGAATTCGACCTTTCTATGTGACCTTTTCTTTGGTAGCAGGGTCCTAAATTATATGCACAATACTTAGCCTTAAATTGGTGCACATCTGTGTCAAGTAACATTAAAATCTCCCGATGAATGTAGAAGTTCGGCTGAAAACAGGAATTTTTCAATGACCTCTAAGTTTGACATTAACCTTAAGTTCAAAGACCTTGTTCATGCACGTGACACTATTCTCATAAAAACATTTTGTAAAAAGAAATACGTCATTTGTCCTTTATCCGCTATGGTAGAAAAAATATGACGTGACATTACTGCGTTTGTATCTCAAATTATTTGCATATTGTTAAACATTTGAACAGATAGTTTAGTTGTTTTGAATCGGTTGTAACAAGGTTCGACATGAACTTAATAGGAAATATCAGATATGTTTTTCTACAAGTGACGGAAACGGATGAAACCACTTGTCATAGATTTGCTAAGGTTGAATTGTTGATTTCTCTCACTTGCATTTAATGAGAATAAGTATTAACAAAACACAGATGATGAAATTATATGTACCTGTAGTTTAAGTTTGTGTCTATCGTATTAAAAAAGAAATTGGTGTGCGTTTTTAAAAAAGTTTGTTTATGTAACATAGAAAATAACAGGAAGTCAAGCAAAGTCAGTCATAGGTACAATCGTAGGCTTGTTACAAGTACATTGTATTATCATTTCCAAAAATGTTTGAAATCGCCGTTCATTCTTGAATTCGATTTTTTTTTCATTATGTTCATAAAGTAGACTATTCCTGATAAATAGATCTAGAGTCGATATTTCTTCCATATCTTGTTTACCCGTATGCACCAACTACACGCTGGTTTCGGGCTTCGAACACGAAAAAAGTATTTCAATTCTTCACATAGTTAACCCGACAGAAAAAATGGCGGATTGCGTGCCCGTAAGCGCCCCTTTTTAAGGTCCTTTGTCGTCCATTTTGCTATTAAATTATCTATTTTCGATGGCTAAGGAAAGGCGGTTTAAAGGTAGAAATTATCAAATTTTGTAAATTGTATATGACGCCGTTCCTTGGTTTTTTTAAAGATTTAAGGAAAGGATTACAAGCGTCTCTTTTTTGGGGGGACTGTATAAAATTTTCATCATTAGTATTATTATATAAAGAAGTTTTTGAAGACTTATATGGTTATTTATTATTAGGTCTTAAAGTATTTTTAATAAAGAAAATTTTTTTGAAGGAAATATTTTGAAGGTATATTTAAAAAAAAAGACTTTAACGGTTTTAAGGTTCATAATAGATTGCTGATTACTGAAGTCCGAATTTAAACTCTTGTTTCGCACGGCACTACTTAATTTGCTAGGGCGTGTGCATAATTACATAGCGTATAATTAAAGCCGTGATTATATTACAGATATTTAAGTCATTTTACAAGTGTCTCGGTTGTTATAAACATTATTTGTTTCAATATCTAAAACATTCAAAGGGCTGAAGAATTTATTGAACATTCAGTGAGTAAAGTAACTTATTAGTACAGTATTATTGACTGTTTTAGGAGGGAAACTTGCATTTGTGCCTGTAAGTAACTATTAAAATTGATTATTATTTTAACTCTCATTAATCTCTGCGTGAATCTGCAATTTGTTAAATTAGTTGTTTTGTAAACCATTAATATGCAAGAACTGAAATCTTTGAATCATGAAAAAAAGTTTAAGAAAAATAGCATTACACACACACACACACACACACACACACACACACACACACACACACACACACACACACACACACACACACTTTGGCATGAGTTACAAAGTCGTGCACACGAGTAACTAAGACGTGCACACAAGTTACTAAGACGTGTGCACGAGATAAAGTAAGTAGTTCAGCCAATCAGATTGCATTATATATATGAGTTTTCTTAGTAAACTAAAAATGTGCAATAGACAATGATTTAACTACTTAACCTGCGTATCAATGGGGCATTATACACACTTATGCTTGATATTGACCTTTCACATTATGACTTTAAAATAATAAGTTGTCATCTACTTGCTATGAGCAATATTCTTACAAAGTAACATAAATAATAGCTGATTTAAACTCAAGCTATTGATTCGAACAAGTTTTTACATTATTTGTCTCTGTGGCCTTGACATTTGACAAAATGATATCGAAATCAAAAGTGTTTTTACTGGCCACGAAGGGACCAACGGCATGTGCCTATCAAATAACAAAACGCATTGTTTATTTCATTCCTACTACAGTTATTGATTGGACAATGATTTTACATGAACCCATTACGCGATATATATGCCTTTTTCAACACACCCCCTTTGGTGTCTCAAATGGTGAAAAAATGCCTTATTTAGGCACCCAACACTTGTTTTTGTTTCTTGTTTAAAAAAGTGACCATTTTTTCGGCGTGGACCCCCAACCAAAATATATACCAGAGGGTTACCAGAAGGAGGATGTGTCCCCTTCTGTTTGGGGGGGATGAAGGGGGCGGAGTCCGCCTCATCGCCAAGAAAATTGTGGACTTGTGAGAGGCTAAAATGACCCCAGATCGATCAATAGGTAACGTGTAACCAACTCTGAAAAGCATTTGACTCTATCTCAATCCATTGAGAAGTTGCAGCACTTTGAAATCGATTTTGATGGAAAAAAATCAACGCAAAATAATGATTTTGGCAATTTTGAGATGTCCCCGCGTTGCCATGGTAACAGGAAATTTAAGCCTGAGCATGCTGTTGCAAAGGCAATGGTCCAGCAAGTTTGATAAGTATTGAAGCAGTTTTTATAGTTTTATAGCAATTTGAACTTGTAACGGGAGACTTTCCAATGAAAACAGCCATTTTTCACAATGGGCCATTGCGATCATAATCATGAACCAAATGACTCAAGTCATTAGGTGTCATCTCCTTATCAGGTACAATGTCCATACTTGATGATATAAACCATGGCTTATTCCTTCTCAAGTTATTATCAGACAAAGTTTCATGCTGACATTGAACTTTGATCTTAAATACCTCAAACACCAATAAAAGACATATACTGGCGATGAGTAATGTCCCTACCAATTAAAAAAAATCTAGGGCTTATTCCTTCTCAAGTTATCGCATAGAAAGGTTAACTTAGTAACTCGTGCGCACCACTTTATTATCTCGTGCGTACGACCTAGTAAGTCGTGATCACAACTTGGTAACTCGTGCGCACGATATTTTATCTTGTGAGCACGAGCTAGATAAAAACACACATGTCGCCACTATGCCACCGTACATACGATAGTAGTTAGTGTTTATTACTTTTCGATTTACATTTGAAAGTCCAGCAATTTAGTAAAATAGTATCTTAAAATAGTAAAAAAATAAAATAAACAAGATCATTAAGGAAAGGCGGCTTCAATTAACGCAATAGGTGAAACCGATCTATATTTGGCTTTAAAGTGAGAAAATAATCTATTGTTAGACTAAATTGTATAACGTGCTCTTGGCTTAAATGTTGTAACTAAACACGGCTTCATTTTTCTTAAAAAAATATTGTTCACTCACCATAAATAAATGAAAATCAATGCTTTATATAAAATTCATATTATTTGCTTAATATAAACGTGATATATTTAAACATGTATTTTGTATATCTATATTAAAGTCATGACGACCATATACATATCCAAAAGTAAAATTATGATCTGTTCTGTTTTTCATACGGCCTGATTTAATTTCAGTTATGCTCTGTTATACTTTAATGATTAGTTCTTTAATTACATTCTAAAACCTACTGTCTTCTTTGCTTTCATTGTTCTCGAGTGAACCTTGGTTTCCCGAACTTTAACATTTAATCCTCATTGTGTCTGTTATTCATTTGAGAAATATTATTACTATTTCATTTTTCGAAATGATTGTTCCCTGCGGTCTGGAGACCGCAGGGTATTGGTACGCGTTTAACTTTTGAGGCATGGAGGAGCACGTGACCTGTTTTCGGCGCATGGAGGAGCATGTGATCTGTAAACCGTACATGATTGGTTAATTGACCTTTTCGAAAACCTAGCTAAATACCGTTTGCCGGTACATTACGGATTTACCTGTAGGGACTTAGTCCGAATTACACCTAATTAAGAACAAAAAACTATTACGTGATATTTCTAATTTTCTACAATTATTTTACCGTTTAAGGTGGAAAAACTTGAATGATGTGTTTGAAAATTATCAATGTTTCTTTAATATCTATCTCAAATTTTACAAACAATAAATTGTTTATAAATAAATACTGAAAATCTACAAAATTAAAATGTTCATAGTGGCATCTGCCATAATAAATAGAGATATTTTCTGCGTAAACTTGTGTGTTTACTTTATTTAGGCCTATTTAATCATTTTCTTAAAAAGAAATAATTGTTTTATGTTCGACCTTCTCAAGTCTTCAACGGTCACCAGTTTCCCAAGACCTAGCTTCTTCTATTCAATTGTCAACTATATTCCTGATACAAACGTTTATCGACCCCCCCCCCCCCAAATAATGTTGAAAATAGTAAAATGAAATATCTTGATATCATTAAAATGTTCACCGCATGAAACCATTTTACTTGTTTCTTTATTGGTGCAAAAGCTAGAGTTTCCTTAAAAGATAGACGCAGTCATGCGACGGCTGGACTGTTATGCATGGTAAGCCGATCAGGGAAATGATCATACGCGTTAACTGTAAAAAATATAAGTAAGTGTAGAAATAACAATTTTTTTTATATTGGTTAAAAGAGATTTAGTCTTTGTTCTAGTTTATCGTCTAATAAAAAAACTAAATTTTAAAATTTCGGATAGTCTTTATCACATAACCGTTCATTTAAACGTTGCTACTATTTGGGAAAACAAAGTGCGTGTATACGAAAAGTAGGTCAACGACTAAAATTTTTACACTGATAAGAAACAACAACAAATGTCTTAAACAACTAAAGTTGCTCCCTAGTTCATCCTTTTGAGCTGTTTAAATCATTTACTATTTTCCTTATTAATGTCTAACTATTACATATGTAAAGTGTTTAATTGTAGTTAACGAAATTACTTTTATCAAACTGTTGAATTTAAATATTAACAAAAGTACATACATATATTTATGATCACATTAAAACTAAGTGATTTGAATTTAAAAAGAAGATTAGTTTTATAAAATGAATTAAGACTAAATTTTTATTATTTGTGATATGTACTATTTCAGGTATGTCTGATCTTGAAGACCCGCTCTACAAGGACTGGGTGCGTTCTGCCCTGAGTCTAAAGTACCTTAAAGAAGGCATATATAGCTTTGTTGACCAATTTGCTAAACAACATCATAGTAACCTTCTTCTTAGTTACATAAAGGGTACCGGGTCCCCTGCGACCAGTTGCACTGAATGTACGTCCGAAAATCTCATGCCAGATCATCCAAGGCACCGGTGTATTCAAAAATTTAGATCAAAGTGTTTCTGTAACAATCCTGTTGGACGACGAAAATGTCCTAACAACTTCTGCAGCAGATTCTATGACTTAATTGTTATTGCTCATGACGAAAGAAACCCTTTATGGATCAACACGGACCCGAGAAAATGGTATAGTGATCATTGGGAAATCGCTAAGTGTTATCTCTCAACTACTGGTTATTCAGAGCACGGGACAGCTGCTGACACAGACGCTGCTGGCCTATTATCAATTATTATCAATAACATCGAGATACGTAACTACGTTTGTAGCATAGATAATATAAGAAAGGTATTTTTATATATTGTTTTATTTCATTCCTATTTCTTTTTATGTTATCTACACAAACATGTTAATGTGAGAGTCCATAAAATGTCACACTCTGATTCATATCAATACCTGATTTTCAAGTCTGATATCCAAATCTGGACTGTTAATGCCGTCGCTAGAAGTTATAACGTTCTTTTTCCTAATTTTTCGTCGTTCTTAAACAGTTTTTTTTCAACAAATTCGCCATTTACTTATGTTTTGTCAAAATTCATCCGCAGTTAATAAAGTTAAACTTAAAGGAACTCAACACTGTTTTTGACAAGACTGGACTGAAAATAATTTTTTAAAAAATTGTGTAAAATTTGATAAAAACTCTTGTGCAAAATTTAGAAAACGATTTAAAATTTGCTGATTATATTTTGCCGAGTATTATAAAGGTGCAAGATAAGCCACAAATGAAAGCTCTTAATCAAAAACATCAGGCTAATAACGTCACAAAAATATTGAATTCATTTGTGAGATTATGTTTTGATTATCTGTTGCAATTTTTTTCCGTTAAAATTTGCCCAAATTAATCGATACAACATTTTTAAAGTTTATGTTTTTAAGCTTTTGGGCCTCAGCTGAATCCTTTAACCGTGTTGGGTGTTGACACTTAAAATGGATCTGTTTTAACTATATCATAAATCTGAATATGAATGCGCAACATACCTGTAGACTTAACGATACATTTTATATTACTTTGAATTATAATCACTTCATTTTATTTAAAGGTTCGGGATATCCGCAATGATATTATGCATTCAAAATCCTTCCAAGTGGATCAAAGTTCTTTATATCAATATATCGAACAGATGATTTTAGTTCTTCAAGATCCCAAGATTTTAGTCACAGATGTAGCTGCTCAAAATGCCGTTTTAAAATTGGAGAAGGTCACTATAATATCTATTCTGTTAATTTATCTTGATAACTTACTTCTGTTTGTCAGTTATTACACGGTCATTATCCTACATATTTCTTTTTATATTTGCTTGTAATATTCCTATAAATATTTAAAATAATCTTCTCTTTGTCGTTTTAGAATTATTTATTGTAAAAAGGCAACCTCCAGGTTAAGGAGCATTTTATAAAACAATAGAATGAAAAACATTCAGTCATGTATTTGAAGTAATAATAGTAACAACGTGGCTAGAAATTGATAAAACGTATATTTATCTGATTTTTAAAATTCTTATATGTATTTCTTTTTTCTAGAGTCTCAAAATTTAATGTTAATATGTTTTTCGTTTTCATTTATTCAGTTAAAGAGAGATCAGATATTCATAAGCGTAGAAGATGCTTATGAAATGCGAAGACACGCTCTAAAAGCTGGCGAGGATGGTGTAAAAAAGATCGAAAAAACTAAAGACGAAGCCATTCAACAAATGGAGACGAAGAGAAAAGAAATTCATGATGATTTAGATTCACGCTTTGACCAGCGGCTACTGGAACAGAACAAGGAAATCAAAGCTGAAACGATACGTATGCAAACAGAGAAGAATGAGTTCGAAAGTAGATATCAAACAGCTGTGAACGAAATTGAAACAAAGGGGAAGCAGATTACAGATAACATCGATGCATACTTTGAGAGCCGAGTGAATGACCATGAAAACAAAGTCGACGATCAGGTGAAATCTTTGTATTCTGTCATCTTTTAATTCCTGCTATTAAATTAGGATAAAGTTAAATACTTAAGATATTTACATAATGTTGGTAGAATTTAAAATGAGTAACGTAACTATTGCATTTTTAATCATAAAAAGTAGTACGAATTACACAGTTAATTTATTTGACCAAAATATGAAAATTCATAGTTCTTTGCTTTTTTAATATTATTATCATAAAAAATACTTCCTGTTGTGTTTGTTGTGTATATTAACTCTACAAGTGTTACCACTAATCTTCTCTAGTTTAATATTCCATATTTTCCTATTCAAACCAATTTTCTGAATATAATTTTAGTCTAAAGAAATTTCTGGTTGTTTGAAACTCTGAATTCTGGACTGACAGGGAAGATGAAAGAGGTAATGAATTTTTCGTTACAATAATGATTTTATCAAAAAGTGTAAAGTCCGTCGATGCTTAAAAGTAAAATGCATAATATCGAATTGTCCACCAATCTATGTTAAGGTTCTTAAAATTTTAAAAAATATTTAAGACAGTACTTTTTGCCAACCAGTACAATACCAATGCTCTGACGTCATTTTCTTACTAATTGACATTACATCTTAAAATATCAATGGTTTTTTCTGTTTTGTTTGTTTGGGTGTGAAATGCGAGAATTTTTATCATTAAACAACTTTTTCATTCTCTTTGTTATTAAAATGGTTAGCAATAATTTGACATTTGCAAAAGAATTAAGAATAATTAAATTCTCAGAGTCAGGGGAGAAACCCATAATTAGTATAACAACAATAATTCGAGTAAATTTTTACATGCAAACCCAAATTTCAACAGCTATTTTTAGTTTAGCATGTCATCCTTATCATAGGCAATGTATTTTTTTAAACACAAGGACGAAATTTGTAATTATTCAATACATGCTTTTACACATAATTTCTTTAATATTTTTTCTTATTTTTATGACAGATTCAAAAGATATTTTACTAGAATCTTATAAAAAAGAAATATTGGAAGATACCAGTTTCTCACACTTTCTACAAAACAGAAAAACCGTGGAGGAGCTTTATTCCCCGTTACAAGGCAATGATATTTTGGGCAATCACAAGAAATGTAGCCGCGACCAAACTAAGCCGATGTGTTTCAGCAAGACAAGCAAAGTCATGCGCAAGCATAATTAACCGGAGAAGCAAGGGATCAGGAAAAAATCAACTTTTTTGCGGAAACTGATTTTTCCACTTGGTGCTGTTAAGAAAAGCAGGAAATAACCACATGATTATACCTCCGGTTTTTGATTAATGAAAAACCAATTATCGAAAGAAAGCTTCCTATTGGACCGTTGAAAGAAGAAAGGATTTTTATTGGTGACAGTGATACGTCTGATTATACCTTCGCAAAAGACAATTAAGTGTGATAGTTTCTCTATGTAATGAAGAACTTAGCACAGGGTGCAAGGATAATAAAGTTCTTAAGTCACAAAAACAATCAAGATCCGCCCATTTCAGTCTCTAAAAGTTCACAGATCACAGGTGACGACCCAGGTAATGCATTATTTGAAAAGTTTTTGATTTCCTGTTCTTCATATCTCTTCGCGATACTAATCTAGAGGTCTCCATTGAAGACTGATAGAAAAACAGCTTCTTTTTCAAAATTCCCAAAGCTTAACGAATGTTTCAAAAGCACAATAGTTAGAATTCCAGAAAATGCCTTTGCATTCTTGATGGATTGGACGAGTGGCAACCACCCAAACCTTTGCCAACACATCCTACTGTCACAAGAGGTTTGCCTCTAAGCTCTGTTGGTGGAAAATATGTCAATTGTTTACGACTCGGAGATGGAAATACGAGAGTCTCAGTCCATGCATTGAAGAACATGAATCAGAAGTTAGACTGACGGGCATAGGGAAAGAATCATCAAAGGCGCTCATTGAAAATATGTTAGTGTCACAAGATCGCACAATTGCATTTGAAACGGCAGTAAGCTTGAGCGATACAAATGATTTGGGTTCTATTCTCTCCTACTTAAATTACTAATTTGCTTATGGCAAGAAAACACTAAACTTGAAAAATCTAAAACAGAGTTGTATTGTTCAATTTATAAATATTATGCTACATCTGGCTGAAAAAAGAAATGATTTGCCTTTTGTTATTTCAACTCAACAATTACCACATATGCTGGAAGTATTTCCCTACATTAAAGACAATAGCAACATTGTTTTCAAGCTTTCACAATTTGCATTTGATTCATTGTTTAAAAAGCGCAATGAGTCTACGTTGGTTTTTCTATGTTTGATCTTTCACAGCAAGGTTTTGTGTTCAAGAGAAATTCTTTTATTTCTGAAAACGGGAATTCTTACACAAAAGTCTTTATCTGGTGAATAACTTTTACCCCGAAAACTCATTGTCGTTTTCCAAAAAAGTTTTCAAAGAAAATTTTTGGCACCCTTTTCATATTGCTACTGCTAAACGGTGAAAAAAATAAAATTAGAAAAATTTAATTCCCGAAGGGCGGTAAAAAGAAATCAAATTGTTAAAGATGGCAAAGGGGGGTTATTTTATTTTTTAGCAGTTTTTAAAAACCCAAGATTTTGTATAAAAAATATTAAAAAAAATAGCTCACATTGCCCTACAGGGGCATCGCCTTGGGCCCAACAAATTAGATCTCACGTTAAAAAATTAAAAAAGGAGAAGATTTTTTCAAAACTAAATATATTTTTTAAGGGGAAACCCCAAAACCCGGGTTGTGATAAAAATCAAAAAAATTAAACGGCATTAAGGGGTTTTCTTTAAATCAAACAAAAACCAGAAACTTCAATTTTTTAGAAGCTAGAAGTGTAAGTTTTGGACACATATTTCCCCATTCAAAGACGTTCTAAGAAAGTATTTCTATTTTCAGGAAAAAATTTGAATATATCTTATAATGCATAGGGTTGGATAGACCGAAACACTGTGGAAAAAGAAGTGTTTACCAATATTGTTCATTGTACGGAACGTTGGGAAAAAATTGAAAATCGAATTCACAAAGCTTACAAAGTGGAATTTTATCCCTGCCTCAAAAATATTTTGTAAACTGTTTGAATTTTAACTGGAGAAATGATATGCAGACAATTGGCTTTTGAGCAAATGAAAAATTCTGTTTCAAAAACAAAAGGTGATATTGAAATGACCTTCCATCGTATAAAGCTCAGAAAATCTAAATATACGCATTGTTATTCTGATTGTCTTTTTTCGAAATTAACTATTGATACTTTTCACATTGATAAACGCATTGAAAAAGATGTAATTAAAATTTGTAATAGTAATATTACTCATACAGGAACTTTTCCTGGTTTGCAGATGCAGATGGAGCATGCAATATCAAAATATCTTGGCATAGGTATGTTTAAAGTTTTAATTCAAAATCTACAGCTTCATGTTTTAGAGCTAGATTGTGTAAGTGTGAAAATGACAGCATTGTGGTCATTGCTCGCAAATATTCCTATGTCTGAGAATGGTGTTGATTTGACTCTAGTTAACGTCAATTGGATCAAAGAAGACATGAACCGAGTGCTTTTGATTGAATTAAAAAATATAAGGAAATTAAAAATTCAATCTACAAATGTTAAGGAAATAAAATTGAAGCTGTCTAAGAATATTCGTACTGTTGAATTGATTGATACTACACTAACATCCGAAAATCTGAGTGAAATGATCAATTCTTTTCAAGATGTTGAATTGTACTATTATGCGAGGTACTCTGTATGCAAAATATCCAAAATAATACTGAATCGTTCCCAGATAATCGATAATGTGACATTAGGGGCAACCATTAAAAGCACAGAAAGCGTGTCCGAAAGAAACAAGTGTAAGATTCAAGGTTGTCCGCTTAACGAGTTTTGGATTAAAAATACCAATCTCAAGGATGTGGTTTTAGGTTCAAGGGAATTTGACATTATTAACTTTTTGGATGCAACGATACGAATTAAAGAATTAAAGAAAATCCTAGGGAAAAAAATAATTGGGCATCTTTGTACGTCTTAGGAAAATTCAAACAAGATAGTAGTGTTTACATTTACAGGTAGCAATACTGATGAAGTACTTATTAGTGATAGATTTAACCTTCTACACCAAAAGTCTTATAATTCTCTTGAGATAAGTGTAAATGATAATAAAGTGGGAGCGGTGTTGACAATATCAAATCTGAATTATCGTATACAGAAAGAGAAAATTATAGAAATGAAATTTTAAGTGAAGCCTTAAAGATCAAAATTCCCACCAATCGGTGCAAACTGAAGTTTTAAAATTTTTTTTTTGTAAAAATTTAAATTCCCAAACCCTTTTTGGGAATTTTTTTGTTTGAAAAAACTAAGAAACAGGGGCTTTTTAAAATATTTTCTGTAACGATGGAAGTGATGAGGGGGAAAGAAAAATGTTTAATTTTTTTGTTTGGAAAATATATGTGAAAATTTTTAAAAACCGGGAATTTTTACAAGGGAAAGGGTATTAAAGGTTTAAAGGGAAAAACTGTTTGAAAAAAAATAAAATTTTTTTTTTGAAGATTTTTATGAGGTTTCAAATAAAAAATATGCTTTAGAGGTTTGTAAGGGCCCAAAAATAATTAAAAAATTAAAAAGAACCCTTCGAGTTTTTCAAAAACTTGAATCACTGACTTTGTCATTGTAATAATAAAGAAAATTGAAACTTTGCATGCACTGTCCCCTTCATGTTTTTAAATGATATAACTTTTTGATGGTACTTAAATTAAAAGTGTAAATTGGAGATTAAATTGAACCTGTTTTACATTTAATCCTTTTAATTTGTTTTAACAACACAACTTTTGGTTCATGTTTGGATTTAAAAGGCGGGAAAATTAAAATCAAATTACGGATTTCAATCTTTTAACTATTTGAAAAAGGAAAAAATGACCTATCGAAATATGTTTAAATATATTTTAGTTTTTTAATATAGAAAGATTGTGTGTAAAACATTGTTTTGTGTAGGCGTCAATGGCCGATATATCAGGTCGTTGGCTTCAAACCACGTGCAGCTAACCGCTGTGTTTTCCAATTCCGCCATTGACTGGGTTCTTTATATAAACTTTGAAACTATGTAGCTATGAACGTCGGGTAAGATTACTTGAAGACTTCCTTCTCCTGTAAAGCTGGAAATTGACTAATTTGTTGTTTCGTAACCCCCAGGCAAATTGAAAACAAACAAAAAACATCGTCTTGTACGAATCAAGCGTTCTAAAGATATTAACGACCGGGGAGTAAAATCGATGCATGATTTCCTTACCTCTCGTCTGTCAATCCATTCGCTCGTAAGTCTCAAAATTTCAACCATAGTAAAATTTTTATTTGCCTCAACAAATGGTCGACTTTATCGGGGAAAATTTTGGAAATTTAAATTTTCCAAAAAAAAAAGTT